AAAATATCTGGTAGTACTCTGCAAGTTGGACAGCATCTAAAATGAAATGTTTCAGGTCAGTGAACCAGACTGGCAGTACTAGAGAATAATTAGAAATTTAAGTAAATACAGAGTGGGCAGAGAAGGAACAAGAATGAAGGTCTGCCATTGAGTGGATGGCAGGAGAGATTAAATTAAGATGAAATGAGATGGTAATAGAATAATTAAAGAAACAAAAAAAGTCTAGAGTTCTAAATAAGAATAGCTGCTTGATGATTCTGCTATGTCTGAAAAATTAGATGCAGAGGTTATGATCAAAATTGTTGAACCCTGAGTCCAGAAATCTGTAACATGCTACCACCTGGCAGCAAGTCCAAAACATTCAATGTCTCTCATTGCTTACAGACTGAAAAAGTGGGACGTTAGACAAAGCAAGTTGTCTAGGCAGTATTGTTTTCAATACTGTGAAACAATTTGTTTGCCTGCCACTCTATTATATATGAGAAAGTGAACACTTCAGTTAATAAAGTGATTGAGTTAATGGAGGACTGTTAGCATCAGCATTTGTTTGTCAGAACATTCAGTACATTCCCATATGATTTGTGTAATTCCAGTACAGAATTGTGTAAACAAGAACCTATGTTTAGAAATAAACTGTAACAGACTTGGATACTGGAACATGATGTTGTTATGTTGGCACACATACAAGCTAACTCCTGTGTTCACCATGTTTGGGTTAAAGTTGGGTGTTATTTGAGGGGAAAGAAAATGTTTGTAGTCCATAATACTGTAATTAATTAAGCCTTGTGCATTAAATTCATGGTTATGTCTATATTTCACATCCTATTCCGTCCTATAAATAAATTACATTTATGATTTGCTAAGTTCACTTTTAGTTCTGACATTTTCCACGGCCAGTTGGCCTTGAGTATATTAAGAATAATGCGTTAAAGGTAATCTCCCAAATGATGGTCAAAATCTTTGGAGTAGTAGCAATCACTGTTGCATTGCCATTCATTTCCTCCAATTTTGTGCCACAACCAAGTGCTGCATTTCTGGATTTTCCAATGCCAGGCTCAGAATTGTTCATCAAACTGCATCCTCACAGTGTTGATTGGTGGCAGGTAAGCCATGTGCCCTCTTTGCAGCACTAGCTGCCATATTCTAGTTAGCATTCAAACACACTGAAAGATTTTGGGGCATTTACACTGTTTTTCAGTGTTTTAGTGTATGAGTGAATAGGAGACTGTTGGTGCTTAGGGAGGTCGGTTAGGTTAAATGGTCTTTTTTTGTCCAGTGTTTCCTGGGTAACTTTCGAGGTAAGCAAGCTGGAAATATCCAAAGTATCTAACTGTCACAAAGTCAGCAATTTTGGAGGGTCCTAGTGAACAGGGGAAACTTCCACAACTTAAGTGCACCAGGACTCATGGCATACCGATACACTGTTTGGGTCATATCTTCAGTCTTCAACTACGCAGTAACTGGAAGATCTGGGCTAATGTAGTAGTAAATAATGTAGAACTTGTGATAATCTGGCTTTTGGTTCATTTGTCTTAACATTGGTGACCATACCTTAAACTTGTCTAAGTTCTAAACTCTAACGTGCCCTGCCTAAACCTTGCCACCTGTCTCTTCCTTTAAAACATACCTGTTAATATCCCCCTCCATCTATATCATCACTTATCTGATTTTGCTTTGGTGAAATGCAAGTTGTAGTTGAATTGTGAGAAGAAATAAAATACATAATTATATGTTAGGTACTTGTTACAGGTAAGTGTTATCACTTAATATTACAGTTCTTATTAGTGCACTGTCTAGCGGTGTGACAGAAATATTTATATTGGTGATGTCAATGATGTAGATCAACACTAGATTTTTGAAAAGTATTATTTACATATCAGAAGGTATGTATAAAATTGAGAAATATTACTAGGTATGAGACCAGTGCTTTGTGAAGTTAAATGTTTTTGAGAGAGCCTCTAATGCAATAAGCTGGTTCTTTAACTTGCTTGTGGAATTAACCTCTATTTTGCTAGGGAGCAGTTGGTGGAGAATGTAGACATGGCATGGATAGAGAATTGGCTAATGGGCAGGAAACGGTGATTGGGCTAAGGGGTTCATTTTCAGGTTGGCGATCCACAGGATCAGTGCTGGGACCACACCTATTTACAATATCCGTTTATATACAGTCGGTTCTGCTATAACGCAATAGTTGTGTTCCTGCACAACATGGCATTATAGAAAGTCGCGCTATAGAAATAACAGCCTACGGGAAAAGCGGGGTTGGGACAGACCACCAAAAAATATCGCTCAAAAATCACTCAAAAGCCTAACACAATGGGTAGCATAGTTATGAATTAAACATTTATTCAATCTAGTAATGAAATGAAAGTAAGTTTAACACCTTACATCAGGAAGAAAATGTCAAGATGACTTGATGGGGGAGGAGGTTTTGAGGTTACTGTGTTGTTAATGCAGGGGCTGAGGGTCGTTGTCGTCACCACCACCACCACCACCACCAGCTGCAGCTGTGGTTGCAGGGTTAGGGCAAAAAATATTTAATCCAGAAGTGGATGGCTGTGGTTCATTGTCTTCTGACTGTTTCTTTGGGGTTGGCTTAAAAAGTCATCCAGTTTTTGCTCTTTTGCCCTTTTTTCTGCTTTCGTGAAGAAGCTGTTCATAGGGTGCCAAATAACATCTTACTCCATGAACTGCTACCCTGCCACATTCTGCATTGTAATTGTTATCCTCTAAAGAGCTGCAACTGCTTCTCAATTTCTCTCCAGATAGAAGATAAAACAGAAATGGAAAGCTGTTGTGGTGCTGCATCCTGGACTACTACTACTTCATTGTCAGCTTCCACTTACTCCTTAGCAACAAGTTGTTGTAGATCAGCTGTAGAAAGGCCCTTGCAGTGGGACTCGAGCAGCTCTTCAACATTCTCACCAGTGGAATCACGTTATAGCCAACACAAGTTCATGTTTTAGAAACAGCGTTCCCCTATTTATCAGTTGTGTTATAGCAGAACAGACTGTATTGGAAGAAGGAAGTGAACGTACCGTAGCCAAATCTGCAGACAACACTAAATTAGCTGGAAAGGCAGCTTAGAGAGATATTGATAATAAGTCAGTGGGCAAGAAGTTGGCAAATGTGAAGTTGTTAATTTTGAAAGGGAGAATAAAACCATATTATTTAAATGGAGTAAAACTGCGGAATGCTGGAACACCGGGATTTGAGGGGTACTTGTACACAAATGACAGAAACCTAGCACACCGGTGCAGCAGGTAGTTAGGATGGCTAATGGAATATTGCCCTTATTTTCAAGGGGGTTGGAGTATAATTCACTGTAACTGTACTAGGTGTTGGTTAGACCACATCTGGAGTACTGAGAGCAGTTTTGGTCTCCTTACTTAAGGAAATATCATTTCATTGGAGGCAGTTCTGAGAAGGGTCATGAGAATGACCCCGCCGCCTCCCCCCCATAAGCAGAGATTGTCTTATGAGCAAAGACTCGATGGGGACTCTACTCACTTGAGTTTTGACAAATGTGAGGTGCTCTCATTGAAACAGATGGGATTCTTAAGAGGCTTGACAGGGTAATTGCTGAGAAGATATTTCTCCTCATGGGAGAGTCTAGGATCACAGGGCATAATCTCAGAATAAAGCGGAGCCAATTTAAGACCGATGTTAGGAGGAATTTCTTCTTCCAGATAGTTGGGAGTCTTTGGAAATCCTTTCCACTGAGATGTGGGGCAGGGTCCTTGTTTGTAGTTACGGCTGAGATGGATTCTTGATCGGTACGGGAATGGTGAAAAGGCAGGAAAGTGGACGTGAGGAATGTAGGATCAGGCCGGATCCTATTGAATGGCAGAACAGCCTCAAGGGGCAGAATGGCTTACTCCTGTTCTTTTATGTTTTATGCAGAGAAGTTGTTTTCCTTTATCATAGAATCTCGGACCACTGTGCATAATCTTAGGATAAGCCGTCAGCCATTTAAGACATGAGGATTTTTTTTGAGGGTAGTCAGTCTGTGAAATTCAGCCTTGACAGCATCCTGTTAGAAAGTATATTCAAGGCTGATGTAACAGATTTTTAGTTAGGGAATCAAAAGTTGTGGAAAATGTAGGAAAGTGGAGATGAGGATTATCAGATCAACCATGATCTTATTGAATGGTAGAGCAGACTTGATGGGCTGAATGGCCTACTTCTACTCCAACATTTTATGGACAGGTCACTGAACTAGAAATGGATTACAAGGATTCAAATTTTACCACGGCAGCAGGTGGATTTAAATTCAATTAATAAATCTGGCATATAAAGCTAGTATGAGTGTTGGTGACCATGACCATTAATCACCATTTTTTAAATGAAAACCATCTAGTTCACTAAGGACTAATAGCCTATAGGGCAGGTAATCTGCCATCCTTATTTGTTCCATTCTGTATGTGGTTCTATACCTACATCAGTGTTAACTGCCCTCTGAAATGGCCCAAACTACTCATTCAAATATTGATGGGCAACAAATGCTGACCTTGCCTGTGATGCCCATATCCCATGAAACAACAAAGGGGAAAAGAAATCTTTGCTTAAAGAAAATATTGAGGTGTAGTCAGATATTGGACATTATGAATTTTGGCTAGTAGGAAATTAAAAGCTAATCACTGTTAAATTCATTTCCATTAATGTAATTAAGTATTCCGCTACGTGTTATGACCAGAAAAATCTGAACACAGTTGTGACATAAAACGTGGATGATGATCTTTAATTTTAGATAAATATTTTCTTCAGTTTTATGCCTTACAATCTTTGCATTACATCAGATTGTTGGTTTTGTGTGTTGAGTTTATTCCTAAATAATGAGGCAGAACTTGATCAGTGTTATAGACAACTATATGTACAGTAAACATGAATACTTTGTTAATAAAATATTATATACCAGCTGAGGCAAACCTTAAACAGTTTCCCTACAAGTGTAATTTCTAACAGTTATCCATTTTGTCATTATTTTTGTTCTGTTACAGATGGATCTGTCCGTTGTTGCCTTATACAGTGTTATGCAAGAGAGACAGAAGAGATACGCCAAGTATGCGGAACAAATACAGAAAGTTAATGAGATGTCTGCAATACTCCGGCGTATACAGATGGGCATAGATCAAACTATTCCACTAATGGAGAAACTTAATAACTTATTGCCAGAGAATGAAAGACTTGAACCTTTCAGCATGAGAGCTGACAAAGATGTAAAGTACCAGTAGACTATAAGCTAAAACTCAACCTTTTATCCTTCACTAGATATGTATACAATCACCACTAAATCTGCAGTTTGGATATTAAGTCAGTGAAGTTTCATCTATTTCCAGGGGATGCTGAGCATTTTGTTGTTACGCGCTCTTCTGCCCCACTTCCAAAATGCTTTGGATCCAATGTACCAGCTAATGTCATTATGAACCTTTTCATCCAGTTTTGGTGGAACGAGTTACTTAACTAAGGAGACTGCTAAAGTCATTTGCAGAGATTTGAGGTCAAATATCTGCATCAATTTGCACTACTACAAATCAGTTAGCATCATGGTAGCCACTACTAGATTTTGAATTAGTATCCCATCCCTCTGCATGCATTCAGACCTTGATTTGAAGACTTCACTTATTAATTAAACTGTTTGTTTTTTCTCATGTAGCATACTTAGATGGCTGATATATGCCTTGTGTATATGTTTGAAGCATCTCCATGACGCGGTGATTCTCTTTTTTTAATCTGTAAAGATATCTGTTATGCTTAGTAGAAAGTGTGTTCATCCTTGGTACTTGAAGTGAATAATTAATTAGTCATAGTCCACAAGGGATGGTAGGTTGCAAGCCATCATGCAGCTGGTCAGGGCTCTGTGGCACTGTGGTAATGTCCCTACTTCTGAGCCAGAAGACCTGGGTTCAAGTCCCATCTGCTCCAGAGCTGTGTAATAATATCCCTGAACAGGCTGACCAGGTTATCTTCATATAGCTGGTGATGCAGTTGTCACGTCACATTGGATCATTGTCCTCCCATATATAGAAGGTTTGAGACGATTTACTCTCTTTTTTGCTTTAAAGTAGGTCATTTACTGGTTTGTAAAATAGTCTAATAATGTTGAAATGTGACTCCTGAACCCTCCTGTAAATAACTAAACACAATGATGTAATGTACAGTACATAATATAGTTGGTGGAACATATGGAACTAAGAAATTAATTTAATTTTCTTAAGGCTTTTTTATAATTGTAAATTCAATCTCAATGTTACTTTTGTTACCTGCAACTAATATTTATCATACTTTGTGAAAGCTCCATACTAAAGTTGGTTTTATTTTTTTGAAGCCTGAAGTTTGAGTAAAGCTGGTAATATAAGCAGGCTCAAAGTGTATGAAGCTACACAGCACTGTAAACAATATTGATAATATTGCATGTAGCTAAGCATTTAATTACTAATATTTAATATCAGCTCTACTAGTTCCTCTAGTTCTATGATCAGCAACAAAGAACATAAATTGGACACTTTCTTCTGTTGGTGGCAAGTAAAAAGAAATTGATTCACAGGTAAGATTTTTCAGTTCTGACTGAATGAACACGTAACGGGAAACATAACTTTGGTGCTGGTGCTGGGTCATGTTGTTCCTACACAACTCTAAAGGGGTAATCTACAAATAAGAATTTAAAAAGCAAAGGGAAAAGAAATGCAATTACTACAAAAATGCATCAATATTGTGGATTTGCAAATTTACTAGGTGATCTGTTGAGTTTCATTTCAGCTTGCAAGATCCATAATCTCTTTAGACATTATATTTGACTAGTTGAACATACAAGAGGAGGGAAATTGCTCACTTGTTAAGTTACAACTTAACTTCCATGCTTTTATTGGCTTTGATAGCTTATATTTTACTATGTAGAAGTATTTTCATTTTTATGTACAGTATATTTTGTGCATTTGTATTTATATTCTAAGTTTTAAAACAAAACTGGTGCATGTTTTCTCCCCAGTGTCACTTCTTTTAAGAGAGTGCAAATCAATGAGCTAATCATAACAAAATTGCTCGAAGTCTGCTCACCATATACCACATGCAAAACCTTGGGTATTCCCATGATTCAGCTATTCACTTGGATACACTTACTGTGACATTTGTGGGGGAGAGGGGGGTTGTGCTGCTTTGGAACTTTTGTTTTAAAGATGAGTCTGGCACTTTGTTTTTTTAAAACAGATCACAAACTGGAAAATAAATTAGTTACACTGATTTGCATTCTTTATGGAGCTAGTTTGTAAAATTAAGCCAAAATGGTGTTCTGAAGAATTTTAAGAAACTTGTTATGGCAATTTTAATAAGTTACCCTCTCAAGATTTAACTGGACATTCCCTTGGTTTTAAAGTGAACTTCTGGCACCTAGAAGAATATTAATAATTGGCTATATTTTTAGGATCCTCAAAAAAGTGGACTCACTTGCTCTCTGAAATAAATCCAGATAATGCTGGAAATGCATAGTCAGCCAATCTGCATATGACAAGAGAAAGAGCAATTTGTGAAAATGTAGGTGTTTATTTTTTAACCTCTCTTTCAGTACATCTCAATGGTGGTACAAGAAGATGAAGGCCAGATATTAGATATCACCTTTCCCCTCTGATCAGAGTACGGCACTTTCAGGTCACCCTGAAAACATGAACAGAACATAGAAATGCTTAGGTCATTAGCATCTGCAGAGAGAGAGGAAAAAAAAAAGTTACTATTTTAGGTTGGTTACCTTCCAATATTTCCGGCAATTTTCTACATCCGCTGTAGTTTCCTTTTGTGGGAGCATGAGGTAGGATTTACTTTCAGGCACTTAAAGCAGGCTATGAACTTGACACAATGTTTGTTTAAATTACACTTGTATGTAACAGGTACCATCTCAGATTTTATTTCAAAATATGCTCATCATTTCACCTCATGAAGAACATCTTTGTCAGTTATCCATCAACGCTTCATACATTACGCATTTGAACAAAACAGCTCCATCACGCAGACATGTTGTACCATCCTGAACAAGTTTCCAGCATATCTCCACCTCAGGACCTCCACACAAGTGTGCTTTAACCTGCAACTCATGCACTCTGCATAGCATCAACATTTTTGTTTCATTTATACCCCTGTGTTTTTGATTCTGCCCTCGTTTACACAGCCCTTGTATACACAGATGTTTTCTCAGTGCTAATTAGCAGTCCACATTAGCAATTTAAACCTAGCCAAAAAAACTGGAAATCTCATCTGTATCAAGTAAGACCTGAGATTTGATTTACTGAATACCTACATACAGTATAAGCATTAAAATTCTGAGGTATTTGCTCTAAGCAGCACTGGTACATTACCTATCCATAAACTCAAATCACGATAGTTACACCATTTATTTACAGATGCAAAAAAGTTTGCATCAAATAAGCTATGATTACACCAGATATCCAGATTTTGCCAGCTTGTCTGGAATTTTTAAAAAATCTCCATGGAACTTGGCTCAGTCTTCAGAGGCAAAGTGCATTATTGGACAATTACATAACGCTAACTGGGATTTTTTCAAATGCATACACAAGCCTGACAATTATGCATAATTGCCTTGATTAGATACTTAATGTTGAATTAATTGATGAACAGTCATGATTGGTAGGACTTGAACAACAATATTCTAAATTATTTGAAGTCCCTGGCTGAAGCTGTGAGAGACAATTTCTTCAAAACTGCACATGTGAATTATAAGTTGGTCAAATTACCAGACTACATGTTAGCATTTCTTCAGGAAACTTCAATGATCTCCATGCTGCCAGAAAAGCTGGACTGACTTCCAATTTTTCCTAAGTCCTCCCGGGACCTACTTTCATTCATGCCTTCTTCGAATTCCATTTGACAGCTGCGGCGTTTGTATTGTTTTTCATAAGGGCTTTCCTCATGCCAGCTGCGTCTGGAATCTCGGCGGTCACAGTGTTTTTCACGCCGACGCACTGTCCCTGCCTGATCACAGCCTGATGATAGCTGACTACAGCTAAATGCTGAATAGGCTGTGGTACCTCCAAATAGAGTAGAACCTGACAAGAAACGAGGAGATTGCCCAGCCAGTGTTTCTGTTGCGAAGTACCAGGTATTAGCCAATGATGCAGTTGACGTTTGAGGTGAGAGTATGTCTGAATGCCATCCTTTGAGCCCCATTCCTGCTGCAGATGTTGCCAAATGCTGTTGGCTGCTAGAAAGACCTAGTAGAAAGTTTGTTCTGTAGTTATCCTCCATGCTTCCACTTCTGTGCAACGGGTACAGGAGTGTTCTAGGCATTGTATTTGTGCTTGCTGCTGTTTGCGCTGAAGACATAGCTGCACTTTTTGGTGATCCTTGCTGCCAAATGGTTTGTGGTTGTTTTGTATTTACCTCCATCACAATGGGTGTGGTGTGTTCTGAAAGCTGCTCCACTTCTTTCTGAGCAGATGAGAAAAAACAGAACCGACCAGTTTCACCCGCATTTGATTCCTTCAAAGGATCACAACTGTCTTCTGGAGAAGCAGCAATTGGTGTAGAACTAGCACCTCCACTGTTTGTGGGATATGAAACAGACTTTATGTCCAAAGAAAATGAGCGTTTTAATCGATTGTTGTCCTCTAGCCTGTCCAAGGACAGGCTAAGTCCATTGAGTCCTTGAGCCAAAAAACATTCTTCTTCCAGACTGGCAACAGTGGATTCCATAAGTGCAGATAAAGGTGTAATAGGTGCAGTCAGATTCTGATCCATAGTCTCTGAGGTAGTGGATGTAAAGGCTTGGTTTTCTGTTACTGTATCAAAGCGGCCACTTTCCTGCGTCACTCTCTGTTCCCCAGCTCGCTCTAACTGCAGGAATTTTAGTTTGGTAATGGTTCCTGTTTGTCCAGTCTGAGTTTTCAACTTTTTCTCAAAATCCAGCAGTTGGCCAAGGAAGTTAAAGTTAGGCGAGATGGTTGGTCTCTTCTCTTTGACAAATCTTAAAAACAAAAGCAAATTTCTTTGTGACTGAGATGTGGGGTACCATGAACTATTTCCAAAAAAATAGGCTTGTGTTAATTTGGTTATTAGGTCAGAAAAAAATTAAAACTTTGGTCAAACTGTATAGAGCATTAATCCTTCCTTACTATTGATAGCCAATGTAGAAATGAGCTTATTGGCCATGATGAAGGATACCACTTCAAATTAGTTTTGTGATTTGCTCGAGCAGGAAATATAGGAGCTGCTTAATGGGTCTTCACCCCACAGTCCCAGAACTATTGATGGTGTTTATAAGAAATAAAATATGAAGAACATCTTTAAGAATAACATTCCTTCTCCATTTATAAAACAATAATTCAGTTTTTGGTAGATCCAGAGAAAAAAAAGTGTAAAATAACTGAGTATTTATGGTAATGGCCCCTAAACACTATCAAATCAAATGTAATTCTGTTGGAAACCAAGCAGGCTCACTAATTTCCTTCAAAGAAAGAGAACCGGCTTACATGACAGACCCTAGCCTACGTGCGATTGTATCCGAGTGGTTAAACTCATAATGGTAATTTAGGAGTAGGTTACTTTAACCAGCAGGCCTACTGAATGAATCAATGGATACATTATTGTATATTCCTTTGCTCTATTATCTTTTAATACCTTTGATAGATTTGTCAGCCCAGCACTGTCTGCTATTTCCAAAAGAGTTCCAACTTTCAGCAATTCTTTTGATAAAGAAGCATTTCCAAACTTTGCTTGAGAAAGGTGTGACTGTAACATTTAGGCTATGTCACCTAGTTTTAGATCCTGCAAGCAGTGGACATAGTGTCTCTATTCTACCAGTTGCCTTGATATTCTCAAATTTAATCAATTTCTCCTTAATTTTACTAATTCCAGAGACCAGTATCCTAAGTATTTTATTGGTAATTATTGCTGCATATCCTCTGGAACCAATATGTCCTTCCTGAGGTGTGCGAGCAACAGGATTCTCTAATCTAATATCTATATATAAAAGGTCAGAATTTCATTTGTTTTACTGATTATTCTTTATAATTATCCATCACAATTTAATAATTCACGTACATGGTCTTGTAAGATTCTTTGGACCTCCACCATTTTCAGTTCATCTCCACTTTTTAGGTCTTATAAAGACAATCAAAGCCACTCCTGCTGTCTCTTGCCACTTGTCTCCAGGCTAGAGAAGTAGTGAACAGGAGCATCTTTTAAAAAATGAATGATGACAGCCCCAGCTCTGCGCTGTTCACTCCACCCACCAAGTTCCACCTTTAGGTCAGATCAAATTGGATCCAAAGCTTGAATGGGAACATAGGTTCAAGAGATGTAAGCAGTGAGAGAGAGAGAGAGAGACACACAGTGAAAGACTTGGGGATGGAGAGCTGGAGCTTTCAGGAAGCAGGAGGTGCCGTTAAATGAAATCAGTGTAAAACAAAAAAGTGTAGAAATTTAGAAATGTAAAGTATTTCAACTTGCAAAGTAAAATGTATTTTGTTCTGATAAGGGTTTTAATGGAAAAAAATGTGATGTACTTAAAGTTGCAGATTTCAGGGGCACTGCAAGTTTCAGTGAGGACTTGCTGTATCTGCTTATTATCCTTAGTTTGTTCAATCTGATCAGTTCATAATTTGTCCTCAATTCAGAGAGCTTCAGCTTTTGCTGATATTTGATTAAAGTTTCTGTAAGACTTTGTCTTTCTTGGAGTCTGTGTAAAAAGCAGCCATCGACATTCTCCTGTACAGGAACATTTTGAAAATGTTCAACAATTTTCATTGGGTGTGTCCCGCCTTTTGCAGATCCATACCGGCCAGCTGAAAATTTAAGGTGTTCAGCTGTTCTGTCCTTAATCACTGGGGAAATTTATGCCCTGATTTTCCCCTCCTTAAAATATAGGAGCAGTTCCTGATCAGAGGGCAAATAGAATGTAGCCTGCTTCCTGAGAAACTGAATTGTAAAACATTCCATTCTGAAGATGGGACACTTTTAGTGCCATTTTTTTTTCATTACAACAATTTTGCTGCATGCTTGTTATTACTTTTCTTAGGTTTTCCAAGATGCTAATCTCTTCTATATCTGCCATTTCCTTATTTCAGTTTCACTATTTATAACCTCATTTAGTTTTTAAGGAATCTACATTGTAGAAGAGGTGGTGAAGAACAATTAGGAAAAAGATTTTTGTTTTCCTTGCAAATTTCATCTGCTTCGCCCATTCTATCCTATTTATTTCTCTTCAGTTCTGGTATGTACTTTTGTTTTATGGTGCCCTTAATACTTTAGTCACCCATAGTTTTTTTTTTGACAAGCTTTTTACTTGGGAATATAAGCCAGTTCTGTATTGCATCAAGTCCTTTTTCAACACTCCCTGCCATAAACCCTGAACTTTACAAGATGATTCTGCCTTGCCTTTTATTACATAACCATGTTTAGAAAAAGATGAAATCATGATAAGCATTTTTTCAAATGGATGTATTTGTGATCTGGTTGCTCTAGGGAGAAAATGTTCAACAATAATGTATTCAAGCGATGGGTGCCAGTTTTAACACCTTTTCGGGACATTTCATAGAAACTGGTCAGCAGCTGTTTGAGCAAAGAAGCTACTGCAGTGGACAAGCGGGATTTTTTGAAAGTACTGGAAAGTCAACAAAGTACACTACGATTGGGTAATACAACATGAGAAAACTTAGCTGAGTGGAATGATTATCAAAGGACTCCAGACCTCTGGTAATGACAGGGAGAAATGCTGGTGCTCTGAGATTGACTGTTTCTGTAATGCTACGCGTTTGCCAGAAGCAAGGCATTGTCTAAAATTGAGACATATTTTGGATTGTATTAATGTGACATACTTTACCCTTAGTCTGATTGTATAAGTGATCTGTTTAGTAAGTTTTGTTACAATAAAAATCTTGAAATTTGAAATACTGTCCTTTCACCCTTTTCATATTTGTCTGTAGATGAACTGTAGCATATCCACTGATCACCTACAATTTTACCCAAATTATTGCAAACAAACAGTTACTTCTTCATCAGGTGGAAGTCAGCCGTATCTAAATTTCAAGTCTTAGGTTTCTCCTTTCAAAACCAATCTCCTAAAACAATGACTGTAATATAGTTGTTACAGTAATGATTAGATAAGTGTTCACACAATGAGGCTGTTAAATAAACTTGGATCATGCACTACCCCAAACTCCAAATACAACGCATCATCCTCTGACATTTCTGCCACCTACAATCAGACCCTACCACCAAAAAGGTATTTCCCTCCCCAGCCCTGTCCACTTTCTGTGGGGACTGTTCATTCCATGACTCCGTCGTCAGCTCTACATTCCCCACCACACTCAGTACCTTTCCCAGCAACCACAAGAGATGCAACACCTGCTATTACACCTCCCCTCTCCCCTCCATCCGAAGCCCCAAATAATCCTTCCAGATCTGGCAGAGATTCACCCACACTTCATCCAACCTGATTTATTGCATGTGTTGCTCCTGATGTAGTTTCCTCTATAATCAGGGAAACCAAACACAGGCTCAGGGACCAGAAAGTGGAGCATCTGCATTCTGCACGCATCAACCCACCTGATCTTCTGGTGGCCATCCATTTTAAATTTCCCCTCCCACTCCACTGGTGACATGTCCATTCTTGGCGGCCTCCACTGTCAGAGTGAGGCCAAACGTAAACTGGAGGAATACTAAGTGGTATTTCGCCTTGGGAGCTTACAACCCAATAACCTCAACATTGTCTTCACCAACTTCAAAATCCTTCTAACCCCAGCCTCATCCCATGTCCAGCCCTCTTCCTCCCCCTCACCTTCCTGACCTGACCTGACCTAACCTGTCCATCTTCCTACTAACCTATCTGCTCTACCCTTCCCAGGGACCAATCACAATACCCCCTACCAGCATCCATCCCTCTTTATTTCTGGGCACCCCTCCCAATCCTGACAAAGGGTTTCAGCTCAAAACGTTGCCTTACCTGCTCCTCTGATGCTGTCCGACCTGCTGTGATTTTCCAGCCTCACATCTATAGACTCTGGCTTCCAGCATCTGCAGTCCTTATTGTCTCTAATTTGGCTCATTATTTTATTTAATATGCTGCTCCCTTTGTTTAGGATACATTGTTCCAAAATTATCAAGCACAACTAAGATATTTATCTTAAAAATGACTCTGGCTGCATATGTTGTCCAATCTCTAGCTATAAATACATTCCAATATTTCACAGCTGCTACACAGGAGCTTATTATACACAATTCCCATTACAGTCTTAAAGTATTTTCTTTCTTTATTCTGCCAGTGTTGTTTCTGGTACCTGTTTATTCCAGTTCTGATTATTTATTGCTTTAATAGTTCAAAAACAAAGACTTTTAAAGATTCATTCCATGGGATGAGGATGTTGTTGGCTAGGCCAGCATTTACTGTCCATCCCTAATTGCCCAGTGGGCAGTAAAGAGCCAACCGCATTGTGGGTCTGGAGTCATATATAGGCCAGACCAGGTAAGGATGACAATTTCCTTCCCTAAAGGACATTAGTGAATCAGATTTTTTTTTCTGGCAAACTATGGACTTATGATCATCATTACACTCTTAATTCCAGATTTGCATTGATTTCAAATTCAATGGCAGGATTTGAACTCCCCTTCACAACTTGTGAGCCTGCCCTCCTATTTATTAAGTCTTTATGACTGCCTTTCCTAAAGTGCATACTTTTCTTAACTCTATACTTGTACTAGCTATTGTCACATGAAGTCCCTCTTTGATACCACTCCTTCAGCCATTTTTTAACCTCTAATCTACTTACCTTCATGCTAATTTACAAATGGATCATAATAATCCAAAGATGATAACCCTCAAAGTCTTTTTAAAAATGTTCCTAGTACTCAAAAACTCTCTCTTGCCTGTTGTTTCATGTTTAGGTTCCAATATAGACAACTACAATTGAAAACACTCCTTCCCTCTCTAATACCCTTCAACATGGTCCTTGCATCAGCACGAGGCAGACAATAAATCAATCTTAGTCCTATTTTCAAAGGATGCTAGCCATCCCCCTAATACCTGACAACAACATCAAGTTTTCCACTCGTCCCTTTGAAAAGGTTCCTGCTTTAACAAGTGCTATGGTCAGCAAATTATCTGTCTTTTTGAGAGCATGCCCCCTCATTCCTTTCTCTGGATCCTTGTTCTCAATCCCCTAGACTTCCCTTTTTATTCCGTCCAATACTGGTTTCACCAACCCTGTTCTGAACCTGCACCTCTGAGATGTGGCCATAGTCTGAAGCAAACCATGTAAATACATCTCTGCTTTTATGGGTTGGAATATTGCCAACTTGCCAAAAGCTCATTGCCTCAAATCTGTTCAGCTTAGTGTCAAAGGCCGTCATGTTCACTTGTGAAAGACTCCCTGTCCATATATTCCCGTGTATTGTAGTCCAGACATAACAGCCTGTTTGGCCAGTCAAATGGCTTTTTAAGAAGCCTGGAAAATCATCCATGGAATTCCATAAAATTCCATGATTTTATAATCATCATTATAAAATAGCTGTTATAAGAGTAGCAGCATTAAATTAGTGTTTGATAAACACATGGACATAACCCAGGCATCAAATCGAGACTCACAATTCCAGCCAAGTGACTCAAATATTTGCCCCTTTTTGCTAGGTGTTCAAATCAGAAGTCTACTATGATAGTCTTATTGAATCATATTTATCATCTGAAATCCAACACCCTTCCATTGTTTGCCTTGAAGATTTCTTGTCCCAAAACCATATGGACAGCCCTATCCTCAGTTATGGCTAAGTCCAGCAATGGCAAGAGATAAAGTTGAACTGCTCAGTGCATGATTCTACCAACAGCCCTCTATTATGAATGGCAGAGCCACAAACCAAATTGCTGCCACCTACCAAATATTTTGAAGGATTAGATTATGGGTTAATTAGTGACTATTTCAATAATTTATGTATCTCCATGTCTTTAAATTTATTACTACATCTACATTCTGCTACTTTAATTCCCCTTATGAGTCAGTAACAAAATCTCTGCACAAACTACTAAACTGATAACATCCTACTTCTTACCTGTAAGCTTCATCTAGTGACATATCCATTCTCTTCATTATGTAAGCTATGGCAATGGTGGCAGAACGGGAAATTCCAGCCAAACAGTGCACCAACACGCATCCATTTGATGCCTTTGCTTTCTCTAGAAATGAAATGAAATGAAGATGGAACTTTAGCAATGTTCTTTTTTTTTTTGAAAAGTAAATTTAGATACAGTTTATAATCTACAACATTACAACACCGTGCTCTGGAAGATTAGTCGGAACTGTACTGTTAATTTATAAAGTAATATTTTGTTCACATTGCTGCGACTCTGTTCATATAACTCCTAATTTGTTAGACGATGCTCACGTGTATATCTAGGTGCCGCCCCAAACTTTTGTTGTTAATTTACTCAGTAACATGGAAACTCTCTGTAATCTTCCACATCCAACAGGAAGAGCACATCACTCTGCTAAAAGCCATCTTTGCACCCTAACAATCTACAGACCAGAAAATAGCACAGTCGCTGCTCTTTTAAAAAAAAAACACTGCTCCAGGCTAAATTAGCACCTATGTTTTATATTTTTCAAGTTTAATCAAGAGACAGATCTCAAAACATATAATCACTCTACTCCCTATTGAAAATTTATATTAAAAAAAAGAGTATGGTTACACTTTATAAAGCTACTTAGCTGCTCCCTTCTATGAGCTCTCCCACACAGGTTTGGGTCCTCGAGGATGGTAATATCTGGATTACTCCCAGTGCCATGAGCTAGTGAAGGTAGGAATGGGGGTTAGAGAAGATGAATGAGTGGCTGAGAAGCTGGTGCAGGGGAGAAGGATTCACAATTTTTGATCACTGGAATCTCTTCTGGGGTAGAAATGACCTGTATTAGAAGGATGGATTGTACTTGAATTGGAAGGAGACTAATATACAGGCAGGGAGATTTGCTAGAGCTGCTGGGGAGGATTTAAACTAGTGAGGACAGGGGGATGGTGACCTAAAGGATATAGTGAGGAAAGAGATCAGTCTGAGACTGATACAATTGGGAAAAGGAGAAAGTCACACAGTCAAGGCAGGCAAGAACAAAGCAAAGAACAAGGTAAGGCTGATAACTTCAACTGCATTTATTTCAATGCAAGAAGCCTAACAGATAAGGCAGATGAACTTTTGGCATGGTTAGAACATAGGACTGGGATATCATGGCAATTACAGAGAATGTTGCATCACGGATGGACAGGACTGGCAGCTTAATGTTCCAGGGCACAGATGCTATAAGGATAGAAAGGGGGGGCAAGAGAGGAGGGGGAGTGGCATTTTTGATTAGGGAATAACATTATGGCTGTACTTAGGGAGCGTATTCCTGGGAATACGTCCAGGGAAGTTATTTGGTTGGAACTGAGAAATAAGAAAGACGATCACCTTATTGAGATTGTACTATAGACCCCCAAAACAGCAGGAAATTGAGAAACAAATTTGTAAGGAGATCTCAGTTATCTGTAAGAATAACAAGGTAGCTTTGGTAGGGGATTTTAAATTTTCAATCATAGACTGGGACTGCCACAGTGTTAAGGGCATGGATGAAGAGGAATTTGTTAAGTGTACAAGAAAATTTTCCGATTCTGTATGTGGATGTACCTACTAGAGAAGGTGCAAAACTTGATCTGCTCTTGGGAAATAAGGCAGGGCAGGTGACGGAGATGTTAGTGGCGGAGCACTTTGCGGCCAATGACCTTAATTCTATTAGTTTTAAAATAGTGATGGAAAAGGATAGATCAGATCTAAAAGTTAATGTTCTAAATTGAAGGAAGGTCAAATTTGACGGTATTAGGCAAGAACTTTCAAAAGTTGATAGGGGGTGGATGACTAGAGAAATAGAGGTTTTGGTCAAGAAAAAGAAGGAAGCACATGTCAGATACAGGCAGCAGAGATCGAGTGAATCCCTACAAGAGTATAAAGGCAGTAGGAGCATGAGGGAAATCAGGAGGGCAAAAAGGGTTAAGGAGAATCGAAAGGGCTTAAGGACAAAAAGGTAACTAGGGAGAGAATAGGGCCCCTTAAAGATCAGCAAGGCCACCTATGTGTGGAAACGCAGGTGATGGGGGAAGATATTAAACAAGTATTTTGCATCAGTGTTTACTGAGAAGGATATGGAAGGTATAGAACATGGTGAAATAAATAGCAATATCTTGAAAAATATCCATATTATAGATGAGGTGGTCCTGGATGGCTTAAAACACATAAGGTGAATAAATCCCTAGAACCTGATCAGGTGTACCCTAGAACTTGGTGGGAAGCTAAGAAAGTGATTGCTGGGCCCCTTGCTAAGATATTTGTATCATCGGTAGTGAAAGTTGAGGTGCCAGAGGTTGGTTAACATGGTGCCACTATTTAAGAAAGGTGGTAAGGAAAAGCCAGGGATCTATAGAGCAGCGAGTCTGACATCGGTTGTGGGCACATTCTTGGAAGGAATCCAGAGGGACAGGACTTACATGTATTTGGAAAAGCAAGGGCTGAATAGAGGTAGTCAACATGGCTTTGTGCATGGGAAATCGTGGCTCACTAATTTCATTAAGTCTTTTGAAGAGGATTGATGAGGGCAAAGAGGTGGATGTGAACTACATGTACTTCAGTAAGGCATTTGACAAGGTTCACCATGGTAGACTGGTTAGAAAGGTTAGATCACTTGAAGGTAGAAGACAGAGGCTGGTGGTGGAGGGTTGCTTTTCAGATTGGAGGCCTGTGACCAACAGTGTGCCATAAGGATCGGTGCTGGGTTCACTGCTTTTTGTCATTTATATAAATGATTTGGATGTGAACAAAGGAGGTATGGTTAGTAAGTTTGCAGATGACATTAAAATTGGAGGTGTAGTGGACAGCAAAGAAGGTTACCTCGGAGTATAATGGGATCTTGATCAGATGGGCCAGTGGGCTGAGGAGTGGCAGATGGAGCTTAATTTAGATAAATGTGAGGTGCTGCATTTTGGAAAGGCAAAATCAGACCAGGACTTATACATTTAATGGTAAGGTCTTGGGAGTGTTATTAAACAAAAAGACCTTGGAGTGCAGGTTCATAGTTCCTTGAAAGTGGAGTCCTAGGTAGATAGGATAGTGAAGGTGGTGTTTGGTATGCTTCCCTTTATTGGTCAGTACATTGAGTATAGGAATTGGGAGGTCATGTTGCAGCTGTACAGGACATTGGTTAGGCCACTATTGGAATACTGCATGCAATTCTGGTCTCCCTGCAAGAGGAAGGATGTTGTTAGGGTTGGAGGGTTTGAACTATAGAGAGAGGCTGAATAGGCTAGGGCTATTTTCCCTGAAGCATTGGAGTTTGAGGGGTTTATAGCGGTTTATAAAATCATGAGGGGCATGGATAGGGTAAATCGACAATGCTCTTTTCCCCAGGGTGGGAGAATCCAAAACTAGAGGGCATAGGTTTAAAGTGAGGGGGGAAGATTTAAAAGGGACCTAAGGGGCAACATTTTCATGCAGTGGTGATGAGTGTATGGAATGAGCTGCCAGAGGAAGTGGTGCAAACTGGTACAATTATAACATTTAAAAGGCATCTGGATGGGTATATGAATAGGAAGGGTTTAGAGGGATATGGGCCAAATGCATGGCAAATGGGACTAGATTTACTTAGGAAATCTGGTCTGCATGGACGAGTTGGACCGAAGGGTCTGTTTCCATGCTGTATATCTCTATGACTTGTGGCTTAATCCTCCTGCAATCCATCTTTGCCAATCCCAGATCTATTATGGACTGAAAGAAAACTTGGGGAACAGTAGCCGGTAGGTTGAGTACATAATGAACTTGCTGAATTTAGTGACTACTGGATGATAAGTTCTCCTCCTTCACTGATGATATCAAGCAGACTGAATGAACCACAAACATTCAGTTAAATAGCTGACAATGCTTGGATAATAAGAGATGAAAGAAAATTAAACTTACCTACAAAATGGATCATTGGGTAATACACTTATTTCTGCTTTGTGACAGTGCTAACCATCAGTCAGACCAATCATCAAACAAAGAAAATTCCAGAAGAAATTTACAGCAACCAGCTCTACACAACCATTTTAGTTCTCCTCAGAGGATTCTGTGATCTTGAACACTCTGTCTCAAAGCAATGAAGGCAAGGTTATTGAATATTTTTAAAAGTGGAGGAGATAAGATTCTTGTTGGCCAAGGGAATCAAAACTTATTAGGGAGAGAGGGGAATGTGGAACCTGAAACACTAAAGAGCAACCACAATGTCATTGAACGGCAGAGCCAGCTCAAGGAGTTGAATGGTCTACTTAGTCATAGAGATATACAGCACGGAAACAGACCCTTTGTTCCAACTCGTCCAGGCTGACCAGATATCCTAAACCGATCAAGTCGCATTTGACAGCATTTGACCCACATCCCTCTAAACTCTTTCTATTCATGTACCCATCCAGATACCCTTTAAATGACATAATTGTACCTGCCTCCACCACTTCCTTTGGCAGCTTGTTCCATACAGGCATCACCGTGTGGATGAAAAAGCTGCCACTCAGGTCCATTTTAAATGTTTTACCCCTCTCTTTAAACCTATGCTCCCTTTGGACTCCCCTAGCCTGGGGAAAAGACCTTGACCATTCACCTTATCTATGCCCCTCACGATTTTATAAACCTCTATAAAGGTGACCCCTCAGCGTCCGAGGCTCCAGAGGAAAAAATTCTCCACCTATTCAGCCCCTCTCTAAAGCACTACTTCATCTTCTAATTTGTAAGCTAGTGTGTTTTTTTTTGAGAAAAAATTAGACCCGAATATCAAAATAACAGATTTTACTGTTTCCATTCTAATGATCTAATGTAGATTTACATCTGCGATTTCTCAGAGATCCTACTCTCAGTTTCATGAAGTTGTGTCAAATAGAAAAAAAACATTTCATGGGGAGGGGAGCTGTCTCAACAGGGAAATGCACCCAAGCTCTTCTCACATGTCCATCTCCTTCCCGGCTAAAGGACAATTATAATCGGGAAGCCTCAAAGAGTCACAAGGCATGAAGAAAATTATCACAAAGAATGTATTACAATTTATTTAAGAAACAAGGGAAAAAAAAATTCCGACTGACCTATAAATTCTACTGATTTGTCAAGCCAAGGCAATATCTTCTCACAAAAGCTGTCATTGACTGGAACGCGTAGAAAGTGACTCTCTGGGATAAAGTCAGGTTTTGGGCATGTGTTACTTGCATTGAGTACATAGCCAATATCAATCTGTTGCATTAGCTCCTATATTTGAAGCAAAACAGAAAAAACGCAAATATTATTAAATGCAGTTCAAATTATATGATTATCTCAAACTGGAGCTTTGTTTGGTTTAACTCTAATTGTGATCTGTATTGTCTTATTTCGAAACACCATGAGCCCCATTTTAACTTCCTGAAAGTGGGTGTGCTTTGAATCGTTCTTGCTCCATTTATTTCCTTTTTGTGATAAATTTCATGGCACAAATACACAAGTGATAAAACATCACTTTTTAATAAGTCAATTACTTAATAAAATCAAAGGTTTGTGTACACTAGCAGCCACACTCGTTACCTTGTTCAATACATCTCGTTGGCAACCAAGGTAAAGGTGAGGAAGAATGCGAGTTGGGCCAGTGTTGGTGACAGGTAAGCATGGCTGTGAAATGCTTGTTGGTACTACAGCAGATTTTCCTTCACAGAGGCCTGAGAAGCTAGATGAAAATGTAACAAATCCACCTATAGAAAACATCAAAAACAGATAAAATGATCAGAGTACAACTGAAAACGCTAGCAATTTTAAAACTGACAAAGGGAATGATCAACTCTTTCCAAAACCATACACAAAACACAAAGGGGTAAGGAACAGTACTTTCTCTCCCTTCTGTTTTGCTTATTACCTGTATCAAGCATGTTCAGTGATTAATACTGCTTTATTCTTTTCGGCTATTCACAAAGTTCACCAAAACAAACCCAACAACTAGTCCCTATACAGTACAAAGACTAGGGTTGTTTTTTTCACCTTCTATTCACTCACCCTGTGCAGTGCCTTCTGCCTATTGTAGATGATGGGCTAAATTCCAGTTCCCAAATCTCCCGATTATAGTTGCCAAAGTGCATGGAGCAATTTAGTGATAGCAAAAACTGCAGATGCTGGAGTCAGAGTCAATATAGTGTGGAGCTGGTGGAACACAGCATGTCAAGCAGCATCAGAGGAGCAGGAGAGTCGACTCTCCTGCTCCTCTGATGCTGTCTGACCTGCTGTGTTCCTCCAGCTCCAAACTGTATTGACTGGAGCAATTTAGTGATAATTTATGCAGCCAATAATTAGTTTTATCTTTTTAAGCAAAAGAAATAAATTTGTTGGCTGATTTCCCTATATTAAAGATGATAATTCCAGGAGAGTCTTGTATTCTAGGCTCAGACTCAATCCTTATCTTATTCTGTCTATTCTCTACCTTCTTCCACATAGGCTCCTGGCCACCATTGCAAGTCATACCAAAATGAATCTGATGGCTCACTCATTTCATGGCACAAGGCAAGGAGATAAAACCAAAAACGCACAATTAATGGTCACAACTTTTAAAATGATGATTGGTGTATAACTATTTTGTTTAAAAAAGAAAATAGTTGCATTCATATCATATTTTTCATGACCACCAGACATCTCAAAGCACCTTACAGCCAGTGGTTACATTCGGAATATAGTCACTGTTCTTGGTTGTCAGTCAAATCTCGTACATGTGCTGAATGCCATTTCACATTTTTTTTTCAGTTATTGCTTGAAAAAGAAGCATAATGTTGTGGAAAAGTGGCAATTCATAAGTCAATAAAATGAATGATTTGACCTTCCTGCACCTTAACCTATTGTAATTATTCTGGCTGCCTATTTAACTGCCCATTTAATTGTGGTCAAAAATTCCTGAATTCACGCAAACTGAGGTCCTATAATACAGAAGGATGTCAATACGATTTTAACTGCCCCACCCAGTGGCAAATCCACCTAATACAACTGGGATACTACCTGTCTGACTCTTAGCAGACAGACAGAAAGGACTATTTAAAAGAGAGAGGTCAGTATGCGGTTCTATTCAGTGGATTCCCAATGGGGTTTTACCCTTTGTCTTATGAAATCTCTCAGCTTACTACCCTAGGCTCTATTTTTGTTTCATTGCTTCGGATGGAATTATAGCCTCATTACCCAAGATAAGTAGATAAGTCTGTTGGAAGATAGACGGTGAAAGAGGGTTTTGCTTTAATAAGACTAAACCTAGTGCAAAAGTTAACAGAACTTATTGGATATCTTTGAGAAGCAGTACAGCAGGAGGCTGTTCTTCAATTGACAGGTTGCTGCTGATGTTTATAGCTTTCTTTCTATTTGTTGACACAGAGCAAAGTGTGCCACTGGCTGTCAAAAGGTGCTGTCAATGCTTTGTGAAACTTATTAATGGTATATCACCAGCATCTCTCCATTCGCAATACACACTATATTAAGGCACAAATCATTATTTGTTAGGCCCAACCAGTACTCAACCTTTCCCATGGATGACATTATTCAAAATTACAGCGCTCTGGGATTTGAAACAGTGGCTAGTTTTCCTTGTGCTCAGGGTCTTATGAAATGCACTCACGAAGCAATCAAGGCACAATGGTTAAGGTTACCACTCAATTAATAGTAACTGTCCCAATTACCACAGTAGAATTGTAGAAGATTGTTTCCATTTCAAGACCGCTATTGTGATCCCTTCATCCACCCTGATGTTCATTAATCTCACTCCCTGTAAAATTACATGGTCTAAACAATGTTATCAGGAAATTAAGGCCAGTTCAGCACAATTACAAATAAAAATAAGCTTAACTGATACCTTGGATTATTGAACAGCACAAGGCACAGATATATGAAAAGTCTTGTAAGAGCCTCGGAAGTACTAATTCTACATTAATTAAAACTAAAAGAAGCAATTTTTAGAAAGTGAAGTATTTATTCCTGTCCTGCTAGCATTTACTTAGAAACCTGGCACTAACTACATTTTCTCAATCACTATCCTGAATGTGAACAGAATTATGTTAATACACATTTTTTCCAATTTCTGAACTTCCATCTTGCTTTATACATGTTGAAAAGATCAGTAACACAAGCAGTTTAGCACTGGCTGCAATATCCCATAAACAGTTGCTCACCTTTCACAAAATACACCAATTGTATAGTGGTACATGTTTATCATTGCTTTCACTTTAGAATTTTTAAGGATTGTAATCAAATTTGACAGGACACATGTCTCAATTTTCTACCAATTAATATAGTTCCTATTACCTAACGGCCTTCTTGAAAATCACATTCACACCTTAGGAATTTGAAGAAGATTTCAGTACTGGATGACGGTCAAGCTGTTTGCTAACTTAGCAACACAGAATGAGTCAAAAGAGGTGGTGGCAATTAGATCTAGGTTTGTTTAGTGTCATGTGAAAACTGACTGTGCCTTCAGCTGATATTGCTGAAATGTTCAACGACAGACCTGTGGGGAACATGGGAAGCAGGAAGAGAAACCATTGCAAATAATACTCTGGTTATAATTAGGTAGATTAAAATGGAACCCGGTGAGATGTTGAAGGAGAATGCAGTCACGTCAAAGACTAGAGACAGATCAAGAACAATGAGGTATCATTTGCCACTAATCACCAAGCCCCGGAGATGAAGATTGGAGGGAAGAAATTTTGTGATATGTTGTGACTCAATTGGAAAAGTACACTGATTCTTGAGACTCACGGCTCCTAGAGTCACCATAAATGTTAATAGTTTAATTAAAGTATGCAGAGCTCCCAATTAACCTGTCTGACGGACTCAGGTTCTGGACACAGACGAACAATAATATGAAATAACAACCCATGTTCTAAGAATTAATAGAAAAAAAATTGGTGTTACGGGTGGAGGAAATAATTCTGAGGAAATCATTTAAAAGCATTAGTCCACAGCATTTGATGAGATATTCCTTTTGCTTCCCATGAACTTCTTTTCTCCAAGTGGAAGCTTTCACTTCTTCGCTGGAGGTACCGGGCAATTGGTACTGTAATTATAAAATCTCTTAGTTACTGGTTAAAGGCAAAGGATGGGCAAGATTAATTGACTATCTCCAGGCTTGAGTTACATTGCTGCAGACGTAGACACAAACCCTGTATCTTTCAGTCTGGAGACCTTTGCCTTTGAATCGTTCACACACCAGCTGTAGAGCTGCCCAAGAACCAGAGTTATCATCAGGCTGACAGCTTCTGGCATCCACAACTGCTCACAATTGCACAAATCAATTCAGCACTCTGCTGCTGGCCAAATCTCACACCACACATGCAACCCAGTGCCATGCCAGTTTACCTCACCTCCCTCACTACTTGAACAGACCAACAGTCCAGACACAACTCACAGCACAATTCACAATAAGTTCCAGTAACTTGTTTTTAAAAGTACAGCAGTTCCTTCCACAGTCCTTGATTTTAAAAGTCTTTTTAAATTTAGTTATCAAAAATAAAGTAAAATAAAATTATGCAATCTTTACCAAACGAATGAACCATACATTTTTTAAAACCAGAATTAAACGTGCAACCATCAACTGTAAGCATTCACTAGCATTTAACTAAAATATCTCAAATTATAATTTTCAGTGCATCATAAACCTGTCACAACACAGTTCAGGATACATTGTGATTTCAAAACCACTTTGAAGCAAATTCCCAAAAACACGAAGTCTGCCCATTTTCAAAGTCATCATCGTTTTCTCTGGTGTTATTTTGATATCACATATAATTCAAAAATTCTGTCTTCATTGCCACGTATTATGGACAGGGAGAGAAATTATGGGATACGTTTTCCCCTTTCTCATTAATTGTATGCAACAACAACAACACACTTTATTCACACAAAACCCCAATATGCAAATACAATCAAAAACTCACATGCACACACATACACATGCATAAGGATAGATTCTAGAGGACAAAGCATACCACTAGTTTATTAACAGAATACAAGAAGCAAATCACACTCAGAAGGAGTCTTTTAAGGTGTACATGGAGTAGATCTGACAGGCTCCCTGTCATAGTTCTCTGAAGATGAATGCAAGTTGGAAATCTCAATCTCCAGATGAAGCTATGGTTGACGAATCTTTGCAGGTAAAAATGAATTTATTGCCCTCATACTGCCTGAGCTGGATTGGTGTTAGGCAAGGTTCTCTTCTGACTGGAGTTATAGTCTCTCTTTGTCCTGTAGGTTCCCAGAGTGACTCATTCCTGTCTGATTCTTGCAGTAGGCAGATAGGTCTAAAGTCAGTTTCGATAATGTGACCGTAAGATCAGTGCTTCCATTGTCCACACAATTAGACGTTAGAAGCCAGTGCTACACAATTGTGGATGTTCACACTTGTCTTTGTGGAATGCTGATCTTGGAGATAAAGGCATATCAGACAGGTAGGTTATTGAATTTTGGGTATCATTTACATTTTGTGAACTTTCTAGAAACAGCTTCAGACAGAAGTTGATTTTTTTTTTGTAGAAATCAAACAGTGGCCATTTAAGCAGTAATTATCCACTTTTGATGGTCAAAGTGAATGAAGTTTGTATCTTGAGAGTTATGAATGTGGCTCTTTACTGGGCATGACACATGGATAATGCAAATTGTTCATGTTATTTTAGTCATGACCTGCATTTTTTTTAAAACAAGACCTTTAATTTTGTGTCTGTAAAGTTTAAAC